AGTGACAAAGGATTCAATGAGAAAAAAAGTAAAAAAAAAATTAATTCGCTTACATCTTTTGAAAAAAAAAAAATAATATATGAAATCTATTATATTGGCATACAATATACTTTACTTATTACAATATTGGGACATCCTTTATAACGTGTTTAAGACATCCTTTTTAAGAATTCATTTTCTTTTTTTTGCTCTTCTCTCTCATATGAACAATAACTATTCAATTTATTCATTTTATATAATAATAATAATTATTATTATTTTTATTTTACATAATATTTTTTATAATGGTAAACCTATTTATTAAGAGTGAAACATTATCCTTTCACATTTAAATACACTTAAGTGTGTTTTTTTGGCAAAAATTCAAAATAAAAAGGACAAAGAGCGAAATAAATGAGTACAAAATGGAATCAAAACCAAAAAAAATTTTTTTCTTCGTACTTTTTAAAAATTCAATATTAAATTTTTATGTTTATTGAAATTTTCTTTAAAACTGAGATTTTCTTTTAAATACTCGTATATTGAGTTTTTACCGACCGTATTGAATACAATACGGGAAGTTATGTGATGGTACTAAATTTCACATGTTGAAATTTCGGCGGAAATGCGCTCCTCCGTAGTATAGAAACGTTCGACTGAACCGATTTTCACAAAAAAATATATATCTGAGTTTACTTTTGGAATGTGATTATTTGATTAGCTTTTGGCAAATGTCACAGAACTTTGGAACTGGATTTTTATTATATGAGACGATTTTACATTTTTGATTATTTTAAGAAAATAATTAGCGAATTTTCTAGAAATTTTATATGACAATACAACAATAAATCTAACTTTTTGAGGAAATCAGGCTGTCCGCAAATGGCGTGATTTTTTCATGTGCCGGAAACTAGTTGACGGAATTTCTAGAAATTTAATGCCTGAGTTCTGGTTGCTAACTAGATTCACTGGAAAATGAATTTCTATTAAGAACCAAATTTACATTTTTCTAGGTATATTACCAAAAGTCTATATTTTCTATCTTTCATAGAAATTCAAATAAACATTCAAAAAAAATGTTGAAAATCTTGTTGAATATTTAAATAATGCAGTAGGTTATGTGCTGTTCACATCAGATTTTTATATTCTGAATATTGAATTTAATTTTAAAATAATGACCTAAATTTTGGCCAAAAATTTGAAAAAAAAAATACGTAAATATTGTTTTTTTTTCTTTTCCACTTAAATGAAAGTAACTTTTATCCTATGCAGATTATTTATAACATTTTTTTTTGTTGTTTGAAATCTTAGAATTTTAATAGAATTCAATAAAAGCAAAATAGAAGAGCAAATAAAAAAAACTTTATTTGACACTTAAGATTGTATATGTAGGTTCTTTTATTACACCTTTCTCTCTAAAAGCTTTCATTATTTTAAGATAAATGTTATTTTTATCAGATTCGCAATGTACCTTGCTCAAAATAAGTTTTTCAATAGAGACCAATTATTTAATAAATATAAATTTGTCAAAATTATTGTGAATGATAATTAACTCTTTATGGAACAACACAAAAACTAGAGGTGGATATTAAAACACTGAACAGAATGTATTCTCACTCCAAATTATAATAAAAGCAATTTAATTGATTGATTTTTGATTAAATTAAATTGTATTTATTTGAAATGGTCATTTTAATACTTTTTCGTTTGCATTTCAGAAAAAACAAACACTTTTTAACTTAGCATTATTGTGAATACTAGAAAACGAGCAAAGTATAGTAAATAAAATAGTAAAAACGCAAATTATTCAATCAGTAAATATTACCAACACTCAAGGTGATCTCAAGGAGAATTACTTTTTCGTATTTATAAGTTGTAATGGAAATTGAGCAAACTTAGCATGGAACCCAGTTTTTAGTGAAATAAAAGAGATGAGTTTAAAATTGAATGTAGTACTACGGTTGTATACTAAATTAGAAAAGTGAAATTCTTAATCATACTATTTTGCCTCCTTTTACAATTTAAAAACGCAATTAATATCACTAATTTTCTCAAAAAGAATTCAAATTTAAGAATCAAATAGCCATAAAAAACATAATATCAATAAATTTACACCTGAAATTATAACATTCCTTTAAGCTCATTAACATTATTGTATTAACAAATACAATAAATATTAAAATCATATACACATGAATCACAATATAGATGGCGACTATTCATTTTAAAGAATACTTTTATTAGAAAATGGCGGAATATCTGTTTATTATTCTTCATTATAATATAAACTAAGACTATATAAACAAGTTGCTAATTTAAAAAAAAAATAAAAAATTCTTTCAAAGATGAAGTTTGTGTTTATAATAATCGATTTTTCTTTAATGATTCTTGGAATTTATGCAATTAAATATTAATTTTGCAAATCTTAATTGATATTTTTATTTACTTACTAATTTTGCAATTAATGTATATTTTACTGAAAGAATTTAAGACAATAATTTTAATAGTTTTAAATTCCAAAAAATTTCATTAGAAAATAACAAAATATTTTACCATTTGTTTAAAATTTTTTATTAAAATTACTTAAAAATAATTTAAATTTCTTTAAATTTTTTGTGTTGTAAATTATTGTTATTTTGTAATAATTACAATTTTTTAAATTATTATTTAAAATTTTTACTTTTCAAGTTCTTTTATTTTAGTACAAGTATTGTATGCAGTAAGGTTTATCAAAACTATTTAATTTTCTTAATAAATTTTTTTATAATAAAAATATTTCCATGTAAATGTCATATAAATTTTATTAATATTATATAATAAAATATACCAATTTATATACCATTATATACCATTTTATATTTTGATAAAAATCAAATATAAAAAAGAAAACATTAATATTAATTACTAACAATAGTTTTAGTAATTTATTATGACAAAATTTTCATAAAAAATAATCTGTTTTTTTTTCTCAGTGTATATTAAATAACTTTATAAATCACTTTGAAAAATTAAAATTCACATAAACCACAAATTTTATCTTTATAATAGTAAATTATTTTTTCCTTTTTTTCTATTTTATTTCTCCAATTTCCTTACTAAAATTTACTTTAATATTTTATTTTATACATTAATATACACGGGTTATATATGCAAAATTTCGTATATGCATGTATGTATGTTTTGAATATTTTGTTTATTTTTAATTTATAGTCTTCCTTTAAAATTTATACATGCATATGTAAGTATATGTATGTATGCATTTTTATTTAACATATGGGCTATAAAAACGCTCAACGCCGCTTAAACGAAAATGCTTTAATCTTTTTTCTTTTTTGAATAATAAAAGAAAAATAATTTTTCAAACGAAAATTTTATAATGAAAAGAGAATAAAAATGCAAACCAAAAAAAAAAATAAAATAAAATAAGAATTAAAATGAGAATAGGTGGAGTTGACCGTGTCAACTTTGTGATACTCATACGAATGAACGATCTTAAAGAGTTTTATTGTAATTACCATACTATTTCATATGACCTTATTTTATAAATTTGCTACTCTGTACTTGTATATATTGCAATTATGCAAAATTTTAGAACTACGAGTATAATTTGAATATGGTTTCTATAATATACGATCAAATAACTTTCGAAGTTATATAACAGCTACTAAAACGAAATTTTATGAAATTTCTATAGCTATAAGAGTTCCAATAATTTCTGAGATAACGCCAAATAAGTTTTAAAGTTGTAAGACAACTACCGAACCTCTGCCTCGATCACATCCAATTTAAATAGGGTTCTGACATTTACTATCATAAATCATTTGTGAAAATTTTGTGAAATTGGCTCAATTAGTTTTTGAATTATCTTCGACACGGGCGGATAGAGGCATAGACCGATAGACATGGTTCAAAATTAAAAACATACACTTATATCTATATCTTGAACCATTATTTCTTAGCATTACAAACGATAAGGCAAATTTATAATACACTCCGAACATACGTTCGCTTGGGTATAAACAAAGATGATAAAAACCGGCGCCTGAAATTATACTATGTGATATTATTGTTATTGTTTTTTATTCTAATATTATTCATAAATAAAAATTTTCTAGTACCACCGAACTTCAAAGGAGTAAAAATAAAAACAATATGAAGAGGATTTGTTTTCTTTTTAATTATATGTACTTGTTTTGTATTTTTTTTTTAATAAAATCCACTTTAAATTTCAAATTTTCAGAAAAATTTATAACAAATTTTTAAACATGTCAAAACAAAATGAAAAAAAAATAAAGAAATTATTGAGGAGGAATTTATTCTCTCTTTTTGTTAACTCTTCCCTTTGTTTTCTCTCAAAATTTAAAAAACAAAAGAAGTTTCACTGAAGTAAATTTACACTGTCAAAATGTCAACTTCATTTTGTGTTGTCTGTCATTTATTTAAAATGGAACATAAAATAAACATTTTTTTTTTTAATTTAAATTATTATTTTCCAATTATTTTTATTAAATTTCATTTTTAATTTAAAAAGAATTTTTAAAAAATTTTCAAAAAAAATTCTCAATTTTCAAAAAAAGAAACAAAAACATTCTCATTTTCTGTCAAATCAAAATGCATTATAACAAATTTATGTGCTGTTGGATGTGTGTACATTTTCGAAACATACGACGCTTATATCTAATAAATTATTTAAAAATTAATTTTCATTTTTTTGTTAATTTTATTTTTTTTCATATAACACTTTTCCTTTTCTTTTAACTCATTAAATATTCATGAACTTTTATTATTAAAATAAAATTGGCATACGCTCTTTAAAAAAAAATTTCATTCTTATCATCAGTGTATCCTTAATAAATTCTAATAGGTGGTAAATTACCAGCACACTTTATTTATTTCACATACAATTTTTCAAATGAAATTCTAAAGTGTAATACAAAAATATTTTAAATGCCACGACAAATTTAAATGTCACAATCAAATTGAACGAGATTTAATTTAGTTAAACTTTGTTTATTATTTACTTTTTATTTGTATACTCCTCAAATTCCACTTTAATAATGACAACAATATTTCAAAGTTTCTTTTTTAAACGCGGCGACAAGTGCATACATTTTCCGATACATGCATCATATTACGTTTATATAAGTTTACAGATGTATAATTAATTATATAGTTGTGTCTGTAAACGAATAATCACGAAACGCATATTATTATTGTTATACGAAATAAACGACACGAAAAATTTAAAGTATATACGTGATATACTTAATACGCGAATTAATTCAACTTAATATTAAAATTTTAAATTATACATTAAATAAAAATTATTGAAAGTAAGTTTAAAAAAAAAAATAAAAAATATATTAAAAACCACGTATGTATGCGTTCATTAATAAACTTTTATCATTTATACGCTTTTATATTTATTTCTAATACCGTTAACATCAGCGTCTAAACTTGTAATGAAACATTCCTTAAGGATGATAATGCATTTTTATTCGTCTTTGGACTTGACTTTATCCATATGTATATATAGTTGAAAATATGAAAAATATACAAAAATTATTTATGTATGTATGTATAAATGTATAATTGCACACAGCACACACATTTAATGTCAATATGTATGTATGTATTTATACGGATACATAATAATAATATATTATGTTTACCGTTGTTTTGTTAGTGCTGCTGGCTTATTATTTCTCTTCCCCGCTGGATGCTTCGGTTTTTCTCTCCCTGTACTCTCTTTCTTCTTCTAATCATTCGTTTAATTTTCTTTTATTCGTTATTATTTCGTATCTTTTTTTTTGTTTTCTCTGTTTTTATTTCATCATTTTCTTTTCGTTTTTCGTTTTGTTTCTCTCTCTTTCTAGTTTTCCATTTACTTCTTTTTTTGGAATAAAATATTTTTCATTTCATTTCTGTTTTCCTTTCTCTATAATGTATATACATTGCTTTGGACAAAGAAAAACTTTTTGTTTTGTTTCTCACTTGAAAAAATTTTCCATATTTAAACATAATGATATGATGTTGAATAAAAAAGAAAAATAATATGAAAAACAGTGAAAATTTCAACTAAAACGATCTATAGGATGAAAATAAGAGGCAGAATAGAACTGTCATTCTCATTACATGTGACAAGTTCTTAATAATAATATAATAAAAATAAAAAGTAGAATAGAACAGTCATTGTCAATGCGTATGATAAGTCTTTTATAAGAGAGGAGAACCTCGTTCGGCCACCAACCCGAAGTCAATGCACTAGGCCAACCAAAAGGCCATGTAGTACAAATCCCACAAATTATCTATCGGAACCAATTAACCAAAGATTCTCGAGACAGATCCTCCAGGTCATCGTAAACAAAGGATCTCAGGATGCGTTTCCCCTCCCAAATCGGAGACGAATAAGCACAAATAACATGTTCCATGTACTTCATTTCCGCAATATCTCGACATTCCCAACAGACATTGTAGTTGTTATGACTCCTAGCCGCTTGAATATTTTTCCAAAAAAACAATGCACCATCAGCAGAGCCATCAGTTTAACAACAACACCTTCGTCTTTTTTTGACAAGTTACGGTTTACGAATTTGACGTATTTTAGATTTGAAATTAATTTAAATAAATATTTAGCTAATTTTATAGATTTATTACTTATAATCCAATCTTTATTCACAATTCAATATATTTCTCTACCTTTTGTTTAACATTGACAAAATGACATTTATGAAGCAGATGTTTTCCACTTTGCTCTCTTTCACAAGCTGCCATCTTAATGTCATAAGAGATTTATTATTGTCATGTTGAGATTCCTATTCTTATATCTAATGTTGAACAAAAATAGCGGTCCTCCCTCATTACATAAATAAATCATAACTAAATAATTAAATTAATTTCCTTTTTAAATACTAAAAAGTATTACGAACGAAATGTAAAATGTACTATATATATTTAGAATTCAAATGTGATTCACAGGGTTACAAAAATTAATTCAGGAAAAAGCAAAAAAAAAAAAATTGTTTGTATAAAGAGAGATTTTGTTAGACAGTTTAGTAGAAAGAATTATGCTTCATTCGATTCGTGTGCGAGGCGACTCACATTTTTTTTCCATATTCCTCATTCGTTTGAGTTAAAATGATTAGAAGAATAAGAAGACAAAAAAAACACAATAAAAAAAGAAAATGAGTATGAAAAATGTTTCATATTCTAAAAGCGTACACGTTTACTTTACTTGCCATCGCCGCGCCACCATCATGTCTGGTGGAATTTTCTTTTTATTCTTTAAAGATTTTCATTTTCCTCTTTTGTATTATTTCTTTTTTTTTTGTTTGTTTGTAAGTTTTATTATACAAATTACATAAAATATAGGAAAAATAAAAACAATATATAAAATAATGTAGTGTTTGTTTATACGTATATACACACATACACATATATGTACATGCATACATAAATTTATATTCAAATGGAAAACGAAAGGGAAATCTCTTAATGTTTTTATGTGGGGGTTGTTGAAAAGAGAAGAATTTCATATTATTGTTATTTTTATCACTGGTTGTTTCATATTAAAAATATGTAATTTTTTATATAAAATATAAATATATTGACATTATATACATTCACTTATATTATTCAGGAATACATACATATAAACATACGTATATGCAGTTGTACGTGTTAATTTTAAGACATCCAATATACATTTAGAAAGAACGCAATATATAATTTAGATTCCAATGAAATAATATAGGGGGACCGGGACACAAACTTCAGTTCATTAAGGACTAAAAATTATTCATAAGAATTTTCCTTCTAGAATAGAAAAAAAAAATTTATGTTTATTTAAAAAATTTTGCAAGAAATATTTTTTTTTTTTGCAGAATTTAGTTAAGAGAATTGCAAATTTTAAGAAATGAAACGTGTATCGTTTAAAATCTATTTATCTATTTTTGTATACCAATACATTCATAAAATTGGATACAAAATGTAAAATAAGTAATCAATTTTAACAAGGTAAAATGTGATAAGCATTGAATTTCATAATATCCTTGAATGAAAAAAAAAAGATTTTGAAATTTAATTCCATAATAAATGTGCTGTATAAAAAAAAATTGTACACAAACTGAGTTTAAGCTTTTTTATCTTCGGTTATCCTCGGAGTGTGTACACATGCAATAAAATAAAATTTAAAATTATTATACACGAGCTCATTTAACAATTAATTCGCAAATGTTGGAATAAAATTAAATTGAATTTTAAAGAAAATATTAAATAGCAATTGAAGATATTTATTGGAATTAAAAAATTTTGTTCTAATATTGCATATATTAATCCTATTTCAATTTTCTAATACATAGTTTAACAAAAAGTTGGTATTTTGTTTCGATAGTTTAAGTGATAATAATAAAGACAAATTCCCTATAAAAACCACTTCTTTTAACTTATAATTTTTGATATTTCTATGACGCGCAAATGTCAATATACACAAAAATTAATGCTTATGATTTTTTTGCAACAAAAATTAATGTGTCATTTTACAAGATTCATCAATTTTTATTTAAAAATTAAATATTTTCTATATTAAATTTAGATTCAAAATTTCGTGTGGCAAATTTAATTAACACTTAATTCTTTTTTAAAAGTTTTATATAATCCAAAATTAGATAATTCAATGGCTGTTCTAGAATATACTTTTATAATTTTATACTAAATATTTTTTGATGATTATTTTAATAAATAAATTTATTAAATAAATAAATAAATAAATAAATTTAATAAATAAATTTATTAAATGATTTTTAGGATAAATCAAAAAAAATGTCAAGTACATAATCCATTGATTTTTATGTCATTTAAATAAAAATTTCAAGGTTTTCAATTTTTAGAAAATAAAGAAAATATTTTATATAACAAGAGAATACAAATATCAAGAATAATATTAAAAATTATATCTTGTATTCTTGATTTTATATTATAAAATGAATAAACTCACAAAATCTCAAGGGTAGTAAATAATGTATACATATTGTTCCCTTTTTTCTTTTTCTATAAAAAAAATTCTAAACGAATTTATTAGAAAATTTATGCAGAATAAATTGAAGCCTTCAGATCAAGGAAATTTAATTGACCAACCCTACAATTGACATTACTGATTATAAAATTGTTACAAAAAAAAGGAATGCCATTTTAGTACCTACAAGAGCAGTAAATTGTTATTCTCTCCATAGCAGTTTAAATTAAAATTTTTTAGAACTAAAGCACTGTTGAGACTTTTGCTCTTTAGAGCACAAAACACTACTTTGTAGAAGACACGTTTGCTCAGTTCCGAAAAGATTTATATTTTGCTCTTTCACACTGAGTTTTCTAAAATTTATATTAATTTCAATGTATTCAACTTAAAAAATAAAAAAATATTTTCGAAATGCGAAATATTCGCCTTGGAAATTTGAGTATTCAAATTTCGAATGTTCAGAAAATATATATACGAGTATTTGACAGTGATATGTAGGGATATTCCAAAAATAAAACAATTGAGAGAATAAAAAGAGAGAAATAGTCAGTATCTGTGTATAGCAATTAGCAGAGAAATGTTGAATAATCAAACTTACCGGTTGTATCTGCTTGTGCTTTGTAATTTACAATGAATGGTTGAATTTAAATTAAATATGTATAGCTACATATGTTTATGTATTTTCTAAAGCATTAAACATTTGAAAATAAACAGAAATTTTTTGCTTTAAAATCTTTGATTAAAAACGCATTTACTTACTAAAATTTAAAACAGTACTACAAATTATAGAAGCAATTGACAAGAACAAAATTTAATTTTAATTTGAAACCTACGTAATTTAAAAAAGTTTATTAGAAAATTTCCAAGAATATAGATTAATAATTTACGACTAAGAGTAACTTTTGGATAAGAAAAATTTTGTTTTTTTTTGTCCTTTTCTTTTCTTAAAATAAAATTAATTTCCCTTGAAACTGTTAGATGTACCCTCTATAGGAAAATTTTCAAATTGTCAAATATAATAAATTTCCATTTAAAGAACCGAAAATGGTAAAGAAATTCTTTGTTTTTTTTTTGTTTTTATAATCAGGACAATGACGGATTCAAATGAATGGAGAAATGATTACATACAATGTATACGGTATATCTCTTCAGTTTCTTTTTGGTCTTACCAAAATACCAATTGTGTATGTGTTCATTATATTCATGTTCTATGATGATGTTCAAGCATCTCTACTTAAGTCATTTATTTTTTTTTTTTAAGTTTTTCCGTTTTACTTTTCATTGTTTTCATTTTTTTTTTTGATATTTTTGTATTCACTCGAGTACATTTATAATACGTTCATTTTACTTCATTTTTGTTCTTGTGTGCTTTTTTTTTGTTCTTTCCTCTGACTCACCATAAATACATAATGAATTTTATACATTTTGTCTTATAAATTATAAGGGGGGAATTTAAAATAAAAGGGTATAGAAAATTTGATTGCATTTAATGGATAGAAAAAAGAAAATATTATTCTGGACTTATGTGTGTTAAGTTAGAGAAGGTACAAATACTATATATACATACGTGTATATCACATAGTAAATTTAATTGTGTGGTACATAAAAATACCAAAATAATATTAAAATTTCGAAATGATTGTTTATTATGTATGTATGCAAATAACAAAAAGAAAGAGAACAAACAAATAACGATTAATTGTAAGAGTGAGCATTGAATTTGATAAAATAATTTTTCTCTCCTTTTTTTTTTTGTAAAATTTTTTATGGCTATTTGCATATCCTATATGGATTTTAGTTAACATCATAACGGAAATATGCTTTTAAAAGTCATAAATTCTCTGAGAAATTTACAATGTGTTAATGGTGAATGGGTAAATTGTTTTTTTTTTTCTCAAGGTTGTTAACTGAATTAAAAATTTTGTAAGAGTAATTTAAAAATTAGATTATTGTCAAATATTGACAATTCTATAAAATTTATTTCTTTATTTTGTTTTCCTTGTTTCTTATTAAATTTAAAATTACCTAATATTTCGTACATTAGAGAATAAAACTGCAAGATTGCCTATTTGTGTGATTTCCACCTGTTGTCTAAAATTAACAAAAAATTCACCCAAAATACACAATGCATACTAAGTACAAATATTACATAGAATTAGATACTACCTGGATGTATTATATATTGTATATTTCGCGTACAGTTCGATTTTCAGAAAAATTCTGGAAATTATTTTTTAGTATCCATGCAAAGCTTATGCGGACGAACTCCGTACGAAAACTAACAAGAACTCCATAAATTTTATTTATCCTGACAGATGTATGTTTGGCATTCGGAAAATAAAATTTCGCGTGCTTTTTTAATAACATCTTACACACCTTTTGCTGTTTCTTCATTCGGTTATCATTATAAAGCAAACAAATTACATTCACCAAGTGTGCAATTATCTGTGGTCTTCTGATATACACTTAAACAAAAGTAACACGAGTATTTGACAAATAATATCAAAATTGAAACTGAATCCGGTTAAATTGATTTCAATATTTTAAACTTCAAAAAGTAATTTAAGTGTCAAAAACTCTCACCAATGAACAAAAAAAGCTTTACAATTATGGCAATTATTTGCATTTATTATATTAGTAATTTTTGACCTTGAAAATTATTCTGTAATTTTTAAATTTTGTATATCAAAATTTAAATTCAAATTTATGGAAATAAATTTTACTATTGACAAAAGAATTGTCAAAATTTCAATAAAATAATTTTTTTTTTTGATCATTTTTTGATCGCGATTGATTTATTTGATCAAAACCAAAAAAACAAATAAACTTTTATTATTAAACAAAAAAAAAACACTAAAAATTCAAAACACAAAATTGACATAAGGATTCAATGTTGAAATTTTTAAATTGAGAAATTAAACTTAATTTATTACTCAAAATTATTACTGGTTTTTTAATCTTTAATTTAATTAGATCAATCACATTATTTATTTCCAAAATTTCGATCTAAATTTAAATTCAAAATTTGTATAAAAAGATCTTAATATAATCTTCAATATTTCAGTTTAATTTCAAAAATATTATTGAAAACATTAAAATTATCATTTCTCAAATTCTAAAGAATTGTAAAATGAAAGTGAGTTTACATTATTCAAATTTACTGAATAATTTATAATTAATATTAATTACAAGATTGAACTAAACTAACAAATTTAATTTTAAAAATTAGGTCTTCGTATATTTCACATTATTTCTACTATTTGTCAGCGGTGGGACTGCAACAACTTATCGTACTTTACCAGTAGCACCACTTCCTACAATTATATATTCAACAGTTCCACAAGTTTCATCTATACCAAGATCAAGTACAATTTTTTATAGACCAGAACCAACTATTATTCATAGAACTTATTCAACATATGGTCAAATTCCAGTTGTTTATAGTACGATCCCATCTAAAGGATCAGTAATTACTTATTATGGTAATGGTAAAACATATTAAATTTACAATTTTTTAATAAATTTTTAAATTACATTGTTGGGAATGTACACATACTTTCAAATTTTTTATATTAATTGAAATTTAAAATAAAAAAATTTGTTTTATTGAACACTTTAGTTTAATTAAATTCAAGTCAATATTTAATTCAAAAATCTGTGCTCCAATTAACATTTTCCTTCTGTATAAACGAATTTAAATTCTGGTACATGAGTTTAAAATTCGGTTAAAATTTACTTACATAATTGTTTTATAGAAATTTTAATTAATTTAGTAAATATTAGTGTATGTTATTGTTCATAATTTTAATATTATTAGGTGAAACAAGGGAATAATTAGGGAATATATTTACAACAAAATTTTTTATATATATAAGTAATTTAGAAATGAATAAATTCATAGAGGAGAAATACAGTCGATGTAACTAAAATCTGTAACTTGTGAAATTTGTAATTTAAGTGAAAATTCGACACTTTTAAACAAATTTTAATGATTTTGTTTACTTATATTCTTATATAAAGTCTTATTGCATACTTTTAGGGCCAACATTAAAGAAGGAATAAATTTAAAAAAGTTATATGTGAATTACAGTTAAATTAAACATAATAGAGTTTCTGTTTGAAATTACACCTTTTGTTCCGTAATTATTGTAAGTGGACGATGTGGTTAAATGGAGAAATCGGGCGGTACCACAATGGGCCTAAATGGCCTCAGTGTGTCCTTCGGGAGCCACTTCAACCAAACATAACCAAACTTAATAAAATCATAATACACCTATTTATAATTCGACTTAAGGCGGAGAATGTTTGAAAAGATTAAAAAAAGTATGGAAAAAGTACGAGTATTAGAAAATTTTAAGTTTTGAATTTTCTGTGGTTGCATAGTTTATTGAAATTTAAAAAAATTCATATGATATTGTAAACATCTTACTTCTGCACTACATGTTGTGCAAATCAAAATGTCTTATATTAATTTGAAATACCGTATATTTAAATGAAATTTGATTCTATATTTTCATAAGAATTTAATTGTAATTTGATATTAGATTTATGTATTAATTTTGAGATTGCATATAGCTGCATTATAATAAATAAATATCACATTCCCATCTAATATAAATACTAATTCCACAATTTGTACAATAATTACAGAGAAAAATAATGGTATATTAATTTCATAACTATCATAACGATTATATAAAAAAAAAACATAATGTTCTGCTTCACTAATTCGAAAACAAAAAAAAAACGTCAAGTTTATATTCTTGAAATTTGATATTAGAACCCTTGAAAATTAATATGCAAAATATATTTAAATTTGAAACATGAATAAGAATATTTTTCTTGATTTATAATTTCAATTAATTAATTAAACATTTTAAATTGTTAATAAAATTTTTATAAAATATTGAAGAATCCCTAAGTTGGAGACGGTAAATTTTGTATTAAAATTTATATATAAAAATTTAATTCATTAATTTGCAACATTTGCTATAAAGAATTTTACACAGTATACTTAAACAGGAACAAAATAATTCCATTACCTTTTATTAAATGAAAATTTTCTCTTTTGCGATAGAAATGCACGGGATATGTCAAAATTCCAACAAAGTCATAATTAACACAAATGATGACGTTTTGATATTCTTTTCATCTACCCATGATCGATTCCTACATCTAATAATACGACAAATTGTAGTATAACAACTACCTCAAGCTGCGAGACTTCCATTTGGGTTACCAAAGCTCTTCCGAAGAATCTATCAGTCATAGGCAAGCCATTGATGCCTATTCACATAATAAGTGCTTCTCCGTCTTGCCCATCTCTTTCAAATGGACCATCGAAAGATAATGCCTAATAAGCACATCCATTAATATGGAAAACCAAATTTGTCCTGCTCTCTCGTCTTTAAAAGAGACATAAATTTTTTGAAGTGATATTTGTAGTTGTGTCGATGGTCACATATACACACACATGCTGATGTTCATCATTTATATGTCAGTGAAATTAAAAAAGAGATCTAAAAATTTGTAAATAAAACTAAAAATTTGCAGTTTTTTGGTAATATTCCAAAGTTGTTAATACAAGTCGAACAGTTATGACAAAAACTAAGATTTGTGAAAATAAAATTTTTTTTAAGTACTCTTTAATCTTATGAAATTACTTAACCATTATGCCATTCACACCATCAAAATCCAATTACAGCGAATTTAGGTACAAATAAAATTTATCTTAATATTTTCTATAGGCAATTTTTATATTTTATTGTTTTTTTAAATGTTTGATCCCTAATGTCTACTTGAAAAGTTGACATCTGGATAATATAACAGGCTTATATGCATACACATATATGTTTGTGTATACACTAAATAGGAACTATAAAAATTATGGTTAACATTTTTCACTTAATACGTAATAAAAATTTCACTTTAAGAGTTATAAAAATTCATAAAAAAAAGTATGAAGGAAAACATTTTTTTTTTTATGTTTGTATGCGCAACACAGTATTCTAGCCAATTCCATATAAAACTGAAAACAAAACAAAAACTAATAAAAAGAAAATTTCATCTTTTTATTTTCACAATTTTTTGCTTTTTTCCTCTTCCGAAAAAGGAAAAACTTTTCCACTTTAATATCAATAAAAGAAAACCCCAGAATGAACATTAAATTAGAAAACAAAAATTCATTAAAAATTCATAAACCAATTCTCCTCAGCCACCCCCTCATACACGCTTTATTCTCACATAAAATATGTACATCAATTCTTCGCAGAAATTAAAATGAATAACGTGAAAATAAACAAAAATTTTTATTAAAAAATAAAAAAAAAAAAAGGATTTTAATAGAAAAACGAAGAATCCTTTTTGACAAATAAGCAAAAAAAAAAAAACGAAAAATCTTCATTGAATTCAAATTATAATTATAAATATTTTCCTTGTTAACCTTGAGTTTTTTAATCATTTGGGAAGACATGTGTACGATAAAAATGGAACTTAATAATCCTAATAAGGATAATAATAATTATAATAAAGAGAAATTAATTTGAATCAAAGCAATAGTTTGTAAAGTAGCATATTTCCAGGTGGAAACAATTTTTGAATGAAAATAACATTTTTACGAATCCGAACCAATATAAATGAATTAAGCAATTAATTCAACATTTAAAATGTTTATTTATATTTTCGGATTAGAAGACATTTACCGTTATTTATTTACTTTTATATAGATTTTACATTTGAATTGTTCTCTTAATTATTAATAGAGAAATATTCATAATAATATTATTATCACAATTATTGCATAGCTTCAGGATGAATAAACAAACTTCATCGTTATTTTTATGCGATTTTAAGGAAAGTGGCACTTTGTCAGAACGTAATTTACACTCAATTTTCAAAAATCTTGAAATTACGAGTAGTTTTTTAACTAACACAAATGATTGTCATTTTATGATATTGTATTGCATTTGTTGATGTTCACATTTTCAAAAACTAATTGTTAAATATGGCTGATTCCTTGTTTCCCTTTTCTACATCAAAATCAGTCATAAGATTTTTATTTATAAATTATAGAAGATCAACTGACACGAGTTGCTTTATATATGATGTCCCTTGGAAATTAAAATAGTTTACATGATTGATGATGTTCTGGGAAGGTACCTATATGATTCAATTGTGTATACAATATTAGTTTTGAATATTGAAAGATGTAAAAGTTTTGTCAACAGACGAATAGACAAAAGGACGGGCATAATAATAACATACAGCAGAATAATAATAACATTTTTTTTTTCAATTTTGTTTGAAATGTGCTAAAAAACCGAACGAAATTAAGGTTGCGTCTGTTCTTTTTAAAAAAAAATTATTAAACAAAAACGTAAACACACATTACAAACACACACTATATATACCATGAGTGTATGAGTGCGTGTAAGAGAGAAAATTTAATGAAAAATCAGAAAATTGTTTTTCAATTATCAATTTCGAAATGGCTATCCTTCCCATAACCAAAATACAAAAAATAAATAATTTTAGAATTAAAATTAAAATTGACTTTATTTTTACATGTAAAATGAATTTTATATTAAAATGAGCGGCATTTAAGCAGATTAAATAATTTTTTGCCTTTTTTTTGCATTGGTTGACTTAAAAAAATCGAAAAAATGAAAAAGTTTAATTAAAAGCTATTCAAATTATGATTTTTTTTTTCAATATTTGAAAAGGTCGAAAAGTTATTTTTGATCATAAAGGCTGAATAAATGCCGAATAAAATTAAAGAAGAACAAGACAATTAATGAAAAATGCAAAAATTAAAGTAAAAAATCCACTCAAAAAAAATTTTTTTAAGTTTTTAACGAAAAGTTAAAAAAAAACAAAAGCTGAAATTTTTTTATGAAAATGTCCTTTAACTTTAGAGTGCATATACAATTCAAGAAAAAAAGTTGAAAATTTAAGCACTTAATTTGAAATTCAACTTTTTAAGTTGTTAAATGCAAATGAAAAACTTTTAAAATAAATTTAAAATATTGGTGGGTGAAATAATTGAGTATTGCGATTTCTCAAATTAAGTTAAACACAATGAGCTCTGTATGCAAGCATATACAAAAGAAAATACATACAAACAAACTCAATCGATTTTATTTTATTGGAAAATCATAGCAGATAAGAAACACTTGTGTGTCTGTTCAGAAATCACTTAAATTTAATCAAAAAAATATGAAATTGATTAGTTTTCAAGTTGTAATTGTTTGTTCAGATTGTCTTTCCTCATACTATAGTAAGTTCCAGAAACGACATAGTGTTCGTTTCATTTCGCACTGGTGTTTTGCATTTTCTGCAGGGATAGCTATATTTGCAAACGGGTTTAGATCGAAGTGTTCAGTCACAATATCAAATAATCTGTCACATTAGGCACGCGATAGCGACAAGGACTAATTCATCCATTATTTATTGTTTTATCAATTATGCAAAATCTATTGTCTTCCAATTCAACACTAACATGTGAGACCTAAAGTTATGTATTATAAAACAAAATGTAAGTAAGAG